AAACAGGGGACTCACGGGTTTAGGTGAGTTAAGAATTCAAAACTGAAAAGATTATGACTTCAGCTCTGAAAGACATGCTTTGTTGTTTAGGCATAAAAGACACAGATACTAGAACTAGAGACCTGTTAGTGATCCCTTATTCTAAACCAAAGTTTTACAGTTTGTGACCCACAGAGTTGTGTCAGAATCAGTGAGTGGGATTTGGGAGTAAGGCTCTAATCCCACATCTTCCCATACTACCCTGTCTTCACTTATGTTGCCTACTGGTTTTCTCCATAACATTTTGAAGAAAAATTCTACACCAGTATGATCATAAAATTGATTATAGGCTGGAGGTGGTGGCACATGCTTGTAATCACAGCACTGAGAAGGCTGAGGTAGTTCTAGGCCAGCTGGAACTACATAGTGAGGTCCTATCTCAACAAAAAAACACACACAAAAAGGATTGATTCTAGACAACATTTAAAAACAGATTTTACTCCAGAGATTGATTCAGAAGGTTTGGAGAGGAGCCCAGCTTATGTTTTTTAATCTCATGTGATCCTGATAGCCATATTTATGAACTATGCATCTATTCAGATACCTTCATTTTATATTTAAAGAGATAAGCTCCAACTAGAGTCATTCATTACTAGAACTAGTACCTAACTCCCAATACATCTTTCATTAATACCTCATTAACTTTGGTGCATGGTTGGCCCTGTCTCCTTTATGTTTCATTTATATTATTTTATATTGCTGTATTTATTATATATGTGCCTACATAGAGCAACTTCTTTTTACATATACATAAAATATTCCCATTGTTTTATGTTTGTAATTTTCACTAGTAATTAGTGTAGCTATTGTGATTTTTCTTTTTTCCCTGATTATTTTTCTCTGTAATTGCTATCATATATAACCAAAATATGTCTGAATATAGTTTTCTCAGAATGTAGCACAACTCTAAAAATGTTCACTCTAAAGTTGATGCTGGTTTTAAAAAGTACTATGTAAAAAGTACTATGAGACATTGTACAAAGTAATGGCTTGCATTTTTCAAATTGTCAAGGAATATAGAGAAATTAATCTGTTGTACATTAAAGGAGAGTAGAGAGACTTGGAATTTCAGTGCAGTGCGTGAATTCTTCATATGTTTGAAGTAGCCCCCAAATTTTTGTATCATGATTGCAACAATGTTACAGAAGCCAGGCCTTTAAAAAATGGATTAATGCTGCTACATAAAGGACTTTGGAGAGTGGTTTGCTCTCTTGCCCTTCCAGCTTCCACAATATGAGGTCCTAACATGAAAACCCACACCATGTGTCAGTACCTTGATCTTCAAATCCCCAGCCTCTAGAACTGTGAGAAATAAGTTTCTGTTCTTTATAAATGACCCAGTCCCTAATACCCTATTAAAGCAGTACAAACAGACCAAGATGATATTAGACTGGATTCCAGATCAGAGAAACAAATTGAATAAGGACTGTCTAATAGTATTATATTGTTTTTTGATTTTGGAAACTAGTTATGTGAAATATGTTAGAAAATACACACTATAAATCTAAAGTAATATCAAAATCAAAGCTACTCCCCCAAAATGACATGTATTAAAGATTACAAAGAATTAGTTCACTTGATTCCTGCCTTAAATGTTTGCCTAACTTAAAGCTTCAGAGTAACTTTTAAAAACCCTCAGTTGGGGTGGAGCTCAGTGGTAGAGAGCTTGCCTGGCATACCCAAGGCCCTGGGTTGGATCCCTTTACTGCAAACAAAATCCCTGAGTGGAAGAGATGTGAAGTAACATTTTTCTCCTGAGTCATTTGCTTTGTAGTGACATGTTTCTCATTCTAAGTATTAAGTTCTAGTTTCCCATTTTGTAACAGGCATATTTACCAAAAATATGGTTTACTGTAGTATTACCTTTTATTAGAAAAAAGGAATATATATTAATTTTCATCATTGCCTTTGTTAGTCTTCATATTGCCAAATTGTGCTACAATTATACTTTGTTGTTTTGTTATTTTGTGGGGTTTTTTTTTTTTTTGGTACCAGGGATCAAACTCCGGACCTTGCACTTGGAAGGCAGGCAGCGGCACCACTGAGCTAAATCCCCGGCCCACTTTGTTGTTACTAATGGTAGCATGAGTTAAAGTGTTACCATATGTACTTGGTTTATCTAGAAACATTTTTAATTTTTGTTGTTTTAATAACAAAAGGAGTCTTTACAAGTTGAGTTCTTCTACATAGCAGGAGTAGCCATTAGAAACTATTCTCAAAACATTAATTTTAGCAGTATTTTCTATCATCAGTAAAGTTATCCAAGCTGTGAAAACATTCACTGACTAATTACTATATGTCAAGTACCATTCTAGCCAGTGGGGACACAGTGATGAATAAGAAACTTTAGATGATATTTCCAAGGAAACTGCAGTCCCATTCTAAGAATAATCCCTCTGTTGACAATTGTGTTGTTGAAGGAAGTCAGAAAACAAAAAAGATAAATGCAGGTGAAATATTTGGACAAATGTATACAGTAACAAAATATATTTCACATCTTAAGCTGTTTTGTGAAGGGATATATTAGACTCTTCCTTAGTTTTCTAAATTTAGTTAATGGTATTTTTACATTGCAGATTAAAAGTGACCCCAGCTTTCAAAGTAGAGAATCAGTGCTGCTAATTCAGGGCTCTGATTACATGATCTATCAAGTTCGTTACACACAAAGTTCTGCACTTCTGTTGTATAGCTCATAAATCACAACTCTCCTTTGGTCTTCTGCCTTGTAACACACTGTGCATGTGGTGATTGTCTGCCATATTCTGTTTACTCCCACTGTTAAATATTGCTTTAGGCACAGTATTTTGGATATTGAGTTGTGACTAGTTTCTTCTACTATTTCAGAGGATTCAAAGGTGACTAGTTTAAAAATAAATGTTACACATAAGGAACTTTTACTCTTAATACCACTGCACTTTCATTTTTTGACTCAGTGCTAAGTAGGAGGAAAGTTCTAAGAATATTAAAATAGTTCAAAGAAATATATAATAAGAATTGGAAGAGAACTATACTAGAAATGTTTTCAAATATTCTGAGAAAGATTTAATACGGCAAAACTTCGGTGATTTAGAACTTACAAAGAATGAATCATTCCAGATAGAATACCAACATTTGAAATAAACTCTTCCCAAAGTACTATTCTCATACATTTTGCAGTACTCTGTACATAGCTTAATTTTTTATTTATAGATCCATTCCATTGTAAAAACCAATCATTGTGTTAATGCTGCATTCACAACTGTATGAAAAATATATTATAGATGCAACAAAGATTAGAAAAATTAAAAGTGAAAGCATATTTTTTTAGACTAGTAGCTTTACAAGGTAGTATCTTCCTGAAATTATGTTAAACCATAATAGTGATTTGGGGGCCCTGGGCAGGGTGGGGGTCGTGGTGGTGTTGTCTTTAGAATTAGTAGTATATATGTCAGGTTTTTATTTTTGGCATTTCTTTTTACCAGCTGTGTAGTGTTTTTGTGTCCTGAATTATTACCTCCCAGTGCTGTGCTACCTCTAATAGAAAGTCTAAATATTTCTTTAAAAAGATCTCATTTAGGGGCCGGGAATTAGCTCAGTGGTTCCGTCACCTCCCTTGCAAGCGCAAGGTCCCAAGTTGGATCCCTGGTACCAAAAAAAAAAAAAATCTCATTTTGGTGCTAGCACAGTCATAATCACCATAAGTCATTAGCCCATTTTGCCCAGACATTAAAGCACTAGGGATTGAAAAGTAGTTTTGAATACATTACAAAGAAAAAAGTAAGGTTATTTCCTTCATAAAGTTCCATGAATTCCCCCTTTTATTACTGTCTTCTATCTTCAGAAAGCTAAGAGATTTCCACATTATATTTTGAAGAGACCACAAAGGAGACACATCAAGTTATGTTACAGGAGTAAAGAAAAGGTTCTTTTGTGGGGGCATACCAGGGATCGAACTCAGGACCTTGTGCTTGCGAGGCAGGCGGCAGAACCACTGAGCTAAATCCCTGGCCCACAACAGTTCTTGATGGTTCTTTTTCTTTACTTTTATTCCTTTTCATAAGAGGAATTTTGTTTAGCTTTGTTTATTTTCTTATTAAGCGAAGATTGTTTCTGTTTACTTTTTTTTTTTTTTTTTTTTTTTTAGTACCGGGAATCGAACTTGGGTCCTTGCACTTGCGCAGCAGGCGACAAAACCACTGAGCTAAATCCCCGGCCCTGTTTCTGTTTACTTTAAAGGTTGTCAGTAGGTCATACCAAAATCATGGAAAACATACAATTAATCTTTTATTTGGAATAAAATTTAAATTTAAAAGAAAAGTGTGAATAGCAGCATACTTTTAATTAAGTAAATAGGTATCAACAAAAATAAATCAGATTTCATGACTTTAAGACAGGAATCCTTGAGTCAGACACTTATGTCTCTTCTGATTAAAATTTAAACTGGTGTTTGAATGTCTCTAACACTTTTTGAGATATACTTGGACACTACTGATAATCAACCAAGCGGCTTTCTGTTTTATTGAACACTTTTTCAGATGCTGATCTGATTCTTGATGATTTCTGGTCACATTTTTGTTTTACATTTTAAAAATACGTATGGACCTACTCCATATACTTGTCACTGTTAATAGCCATACAGTACCATTTTAACTAAAATAATTTTGGTCAGTGGGTACAGTGGGCTGTTTTCTCCACTATAGTTTCATTAACGTCAGTCTTAGGTAAGCACAGTAATTAAGAAAGAATAAATACTTTCACATATAACAACAGAATTTTTATCAGAATTGATTGTAACCCTCAGGTTTCTGTTTTGGGTGATAAGTTGTGACATTTTAACTTTCTGCACATCTGCATTTCCTGTTCAGAGGACAAAACAGGTTTAAAATCCATTTAGTTCACTAAGGATTCTGAAAAGGCAACAGATTATTTTTTTAATAGTTTTGATTCCTATTGATTATTGTTGGATTTCTTTCTTGGAATAGATGGGGGAAAAAAGAATCAAGTGATGATTCATGGAATTGAGCCAATGTTGGAAACACCTCTTCAATGGCTGAGTGAACATCTGAGCTACCCGGATAATTTTCTTCATATTAGTATCATCCCCCAACCAATAGATTGAAGGACCAACTCTTGGCCCGGATGAAATCATCCTGAAACATGATTTACCAGAGCATGTCAACCTTTACTTCAGTCAGGTTTGGTGGAAGCAACCTGACCAGAGACACTTTGCTGCTGCAAGCCAAGCAAGAAAGAGATTCCATGTCAGATAAGGCAATTGGGCAGGTCTTACTCTGTATCACCACTGCTTTCCTCCACTGCCGTCATTAAACCTCAGCCACAAAGAGAAAAACTCAACAGGACCACTGCAAGTCTTCTATTTTCTTGTAAAATATAATGAAGCTAAAACCTTTGGCCTAAGAAGAAAAAGGAAATATGTGCCACTCAGTTTGTATTTCTGATTAACAAATAAACAAGGGTATTTCCTAAGATGACCATGGTTGAACTTTAGCTCAAAAGAATGGAAACACTGGTTTAATTTTCACGAGAATTAGACTTAAGAAAGTAAAGGAAAAATTCTGTTATCAATAACGTGCAGTAATTTTTGTAAAAGATTGAGTTACAGCAAATCCATCTTTCCTTAATGAAAATTTCCTGTTTACAGTCTGTCTATTGGTATGCAAACAATCTTGTAACTTTGATAATGAACAGTAAGAGATTTTTAAATAAAGCCTCTAAATAATGTTTTGTCATTTAATAGCGTACAACTTTGTCACTTTTTAAGTACTTTTGACTCCCATATAGTAAATCACTTTTTTTTTCTGTTACTGTTTATCACTAGCATGGGGTGGATACAGGGCATAGGAAAACATCTCAGGAGCTGTCATAGAAGTTATTGATCTGTTCTCTACACACTAAAGGTATAGTGTTAACTGTTTATCCTTGTTGTTTTATCACTGTAAACCTGTCAGACCATAGTATGCTAAGCATCTGTATAATGTTGCATCTTTTTAAAACCCATTTCTTTCTAATATATTTTTCCATTGGCTCCAGGACAGATTTTTCACTGTGGTCCCCTGGCAGTCACTTTTTGAAGTCTAAAAATTATCTATTTCCTGACTGCAGTAGCTTTTCCTTAACTGTACCAAAAATATTCGGAAGGTACTGGAGTTCTTATTCATTATAAGGAAAGTTTGCTGCACTTACTTTAACAGGCTGCTAGAATTCTACCAGTTGTATTTGTGCACTACAATTGATTTCTTGGGAGCTTGCTTACTGTTCATGTTGAATGTCAACCCATTTGAGTATGCTAAATGACTTATAGTATCATACAATAATTGTTTTAGATTCCACAATAAAAATGAATGTTTTTATTTAAAAAATTATATAAATGTTCAAGTAAGATCCTGCTAGTGTTCATTGCTTCTGTTCCTTTTTCATTTGCTGATTTTTTACTGATTGATAACAAATTTATTCACAGAGTGAGATAAAGTTGGCCAAAGTTATATTCTGAAATGAAAATTATAAGTTACAATCAGAAAGTAAAATAGGGTATCAATCACAAAAGTAGAAGCAGGCAGGAAAAAAACTGGCCGATATAAACAAAATGAAAAGTGCTGTTTTAGTAAAAACAGGAAAAAATAGCAGTGTTTGAGTTACATAAGGAAAAAAGTCTACTGACTTGTACTTTTGCAGAAGAGATTGGTCTGAATATGATTGTTCACATTAAAAGTGTTTATTCATCTACTCAGTTTGGGGATTTTCCCCTTGATGTTTTGACAGACTGAAGTGAGTGTCAATGAGCAAAAGGATCAAAATGCCAGGGAGTGCTAAACCGAGATGAAGTGTGATAAGAATGGTAAACCAAAGTAGTCTTCCACAGAAGAGATCAGAGGAAGATTTTTGTAGTGGTCTGAAATGAGCTGCTGACCTTTACTTCCAGATTTGAAAGAAAATTTTATCAAGCCATTGAGCATTTTTTAACTTTCTGTTCTTTTTTTTTTTTTTTTTGGTACCGGGGATCAAACTCGGGTCCTTGTGCTTGCGCAGCAGGTGGCAAAACCACTGAGCTAAATCCCCAGCCCTAACTTACTGTTCTTTATGATAGCAGTATCCTAACATTTTTACCCTTCTGTAATCCCAGGTAAGTCAGATCTCCAGTAACCCAGAGGAAGAATAAAACCAGAAATTAGGGCTGACTTAAATATTTTTATCTTTCTATTTGAACATTTAAATCTTGTGGTTTATTAAAAAATGCAGTAAATGTGCCTGTCTTTATTTCTAGAAATTGAAAATGGAATTTATATAAAACAGGTTAACCTTTTGGGGAAATAAAATTTCCTTCATCTTAAACGTGTTAACAAGTTTCTCATGAACGTAAAAAGGATGAACAATAAAAGAAAGTCTGTGAATGAATAGGAGAGGCCCACAGATCTCAAAAGTTGATCTCGTGTTCTTCGTGGAATGATGATGTGTAGACTATATTCCAGTCTGAGTATGAAGGGACTCCATTCCTGAAATGAGCTAGTGTTATGCTCATCCCATTCAGTGGAAACCAAATTAACCATTCTCTAAGAAAAAAATATATGATTTGGCATTGAATAATAATAACTTTTAATGATTATCTTTATGGGCAATTTTTTAAATAAACTATTCTAGGTAACTATTTCTTCCTTTTACTCTGCAGAAACTTAGTTCATATGGGTCTTAACAGAAAATGACAGTCTCACTTTTTATTATACTCTTGATATTTATGTGTGAGGTGAGTTGGGTTACATGTGCTATATAATGACACTAGTTTAAATAACAGTGTAAAATCTTGTAAAATCAGTGTAAAAAATGAAATGTGACCATATTTAGAAATATTTAGACCCATTTGTAGATCATCACTAGAATGGAGTCATTCACAATACCTACTTGTCTCTTTGAGTTCTGTCATTTTCTTAGGTGTTTTGTAAATATATTTGTCTCCTAGTCTGAAAGTATTAAAAATTCCAAGAGTGGGTAGGAAGAAGAGAGGGGGGCATGCTTCTTCAGATCATTTGAGGTTAAATGACACTTCAGAATTACAGTTGCTCTTTAGACTTTATGATGGTCCAAAAGTGATAGGCATTCACTAGGAACTGTATTTCAGATTTTAACTTTTGATCATTTTGATGCTAACAGTATGCAGTAGGATTCTCTGTCAACTTAGGCAGCAGCAGAGATCTGCATCTCACAGCCAAGCAATCTGAGGGTAAACAATTGGTACACTGCAGTGCACTGTATTGCAAAGATGTGATGTTCTGTGAATTAGATATATTAAATGCATTTTTTAACTTAATGACATTTTCATCTTATCCGTCTAAGTCAAGGAGCATTTGTATAAAAATTTATTTACTGTATAGCTAGGATCTTTCAGATTTCCTCTAGCAAGTGTACTATAGTACTATGGAATCCAGTAGGCATAATACAGTAATCGTAGGAAGAATTTTTAGATTCTTTAGTTCATTAAGTACTTAGGTTTCTAAAAACAACTATTTTTTGTTAACTTAGAATATGTTAGAATGATAAAGATGAGTAAGGATTTGGAGATGTCAGTGTAATTTGGCATATAAATTGATTTCTCTAAAAATCATTAGTTTTACTTTTCCTCTGTAGCCTATCACAAGGATAAAGTACAACTACACTTTTTCCTTTGTTTTTCCCATTTCTAAGTGGAGGATCTGCCACAGAGTTGGTGCTTTGGAAATATATATGGAAAGGAGAAATTAATGATTAATGACATTTTTAATTACCCTTATATTTCCCTATTAAAATTACCAGCTATAAAAATAGGAAGGAGCTTGTCATTTAGAAATCAGTACACAAAGTTCAGTTGCTCAGGCTGGCATCACTAATGAAGACGTGCTTACTCAAATCAGCTACTTTCAGTAGGAACCACTGTGGACCAGATCCTTGCACCAGTCCACATGCATTTTAATTGTAGTATGGACCGCAACATATATCTTCTGTTTCAACATCACTAATTTAAGCAGCCCCTCAAGTTGAAGCTATTTTCACTAAGCATCTGGAGGTATTTATTGATTCTGACCTTTTCATAAATGAGTGGTTTGTGTCTTGCTTTTGCTTCTAAAACTTCTGAAAATGAGAGCTGTTTTGTCCAGCATTTCCCAAACTTTTTGAACTATAGGATCTTTTCTCCACTAGTATCACAGCATCCTGTCGAACTCCAGCTTGTGAAATGCCACATTAAATCATTAGATTCTAATGATTTAGAATTTAGAGCATAAATCTTATTCTTCCCTTTCTAACAACTTTGGCTATTTGAAAGAAGCTCTGAAGCTTCTGACTCATCTCCAAACAAAACATTTCTTCAGCCAGATGTGTCCCTTTTTGTCAGTGTGACTACTGAAGTTCATTTACTAAGTATATGCTGATTATCTGATACTAATGGATTGGAGGGAAAAAAAAAAAACCTTTGCAGTCTTAAGATATGAGAGTTAATAGGAATCAGATGTGAATATTGGCTCTCAGAGAGTCACCATGAAGGTAGCTGAGAACCACAAAACTGAAATACGGCATTCTATGAATTTAATCACCAAGAGCCCCAGGTGGAGCACAGCTAGAGTCAAACAGAGGGCCCAGCTTCACAGGTGGGCGGGTCTCTCTGGCACTGGCACATGAAACAAGTATTTCTGATCTACCTAGATACTGAACTTGTTTGAGATCTGAGCACTGCTGTTTTATGTTATTTAGTGCATATTTTCCAAATATGTTGCTGAAAACTTCTATCTGTAAATTGTTTTGATGTTGCTATTATTTGATTGTAGAGTTTTATGTTTCTTTAACAGAGATGATAACTTACTGATTTATGACTAGTATTTAATCCCTATGATTTTGTGCAGGCTTAGGAAAAATTTTCATCCTGTCAGCATTTTTTGGATATACCATCTTAACCATGTCTCCCTTAAAAATTTTGATCATTTCCAGTGCCTATATTTCTATGGTTTCTTCAATCATTGTTTTGAAATTCATTATCATTTAATGTGAAAATAGCAACCTATCATGATAGCTGTGATGTACTGTAATGATGCTAGTGTTCAAGTATAGAATACATAGTGAGTAGTGGCCTCTGCATGTATCACCAGGTCCTGGAACAGACTTGAAAAGTGAGAAAGAAAATCATCTTGGGGTAAAAGCCAAGTAATTTTTGGACTGGAAAATACATGAGATATTGAAGAGAAATATGTATGTATTATACATATGTGCCAGATGGTTGTGATTCAGCAATAGTCTAACTCAGATATATGGTGATTATCTTCCATTATAGAATGCACAAAACCCACATATTAGTTGTAAAGAACATTTAGAACATCTTGGTAAAACCACCTTAACTACTGATAAATGTGTTAGGCATATTCTCCTGAGGTTTATAGAATTCTGATATATTTATTGAACAAATAGGGTAGTAGATGTTCCTTAAGTTTGGCCTTAAGGAACCTCTAATAGAGGAGAAAAGACATAATAACTGCACAGCATCATGCTGGGAAATTGTAATGAAAAAGGCACAAATAAAGTATTATGAGAAAATTGATCCGAGAGAATGATTTACTTTTAACTAATTTAGATGGCACCCTAACCTAACCCCTCAGCAGCATTTGACAGTTGATCACATCTTGTTTCATTCTTAAAACACTTTCTTCACCGGACACCACACCCTACTGTTTTTCCTCTTACCTAAGCCACTTTCTCAGTTTCCTTTGATTCTTCTTGATTCCTAAAT